TGGCAAGCCAATACAAGAATACAGACATTAAATATTGAAATTAATGCTGAGGAATTGATTGAAATATTTTGTTTCCTTTCAGGGAAGCCACAGCCTTGAACTTGGAAGAGCTGAACAGAGCTGTTGTCATGGACAGAACATTTGGAGGGCTTCCATTCATCTGGTTGCCATAAGTCAGACACATAAACACACAAAGTTCACCTCCTAAGGAAAAGTGACTCATTTAAAAATCTGTGTTCAATAATGTGTTGTTTTGCTGGGATCTTATGTTTCTTATGCAAATAAAAGTTTTAAGCATCAGTACCACTAGCAGCCAGAATAATATGACTTTTAGCTATAGTTTTATATTTTTTATTTATTTATAGCATTTTTATGCCGCCCCGTCGCAGAAAGCCTCGGGGCAGCTTGCAAAGAAGAAAAACAACATAGAATAACATTAAAAATTCAGAGCATCTCAGCAATAGTTTAAAACCAATACATAAAAACAACAATTAACAATTAAAATATTGTTTAAATAAAAAGGTCTCGGCCTGCCTGGCACCGAAAAACAAATAACGACAGTGCCAGGCGGACCTCTCTGGGGAGTGCATTCCATAGGTGGGGTGCCACCGCAGAGAAGGCCCTCCTCCAGGTACTCACCCTAATATCTTTCACAGAGGGTTCCCGGAGAAGGGCCTCCTCTGCTGATCTCAAGGGGCGGGAAGGCATATATGAATGCAAGCGCTCCTTTAGATAACCAGGTCCCAAGCCATTAATGGCTTTATAGGTGATAACCAGCACCTTGAATTGGGTCCAGACTTCAATGGGGAGCCAGTGAAGCTGACAGAGAACTGGGGTTATATGAGAACAACGCCCAGTCCCCGTCAGCAACCTGGCAGCTTTATTTTGCACCAATTGAAGTATCTGGACCGTCTTCAAGGGCAGCCCCACGTAGAGCCCGTTACAGAAGTCTAATCAGGAAGTTACCAATGCATGTGTCACACAATCACCAGGCAGTCGTTCTCCAGGTAGGGACGCAGCTGATGGATCAGCCGAAGCTGAAAGAAAGTGCTCCTTGGCACTGCTGTCACCTAAGCTTCCAGTGAAACCTCTGGGTTGAGGAGCACTCCCAAGCTGCGAACCCTGTCCCTAAGAGGGAATGCAACCCCATTCAGGACAAGGTCCAGGTCCCTCATCCCAAAGCCCGACCCACCTACCAACAGGACCTCCGTCTTGTCTGGATTGAGCCTCAGTTTATTGGCCCTCATCCAGCCCATTACCTCAGCCAGGCACCGGTTCAGTACAGCCACTGCTTCACCTGGATTAGTTGAGAACGAGAGGTAGAGCTGGGTATCATCAGCATACTGATGATTCCGCAGCCCACACCTCCTAATGACCTCTCCCAGCGGTTTCATGTAGATGTTGAATAGCAGGGGTCCATTTTGTCCCCCTTGC